TTGTACAAGTCCTTTTTCTCAGCAAGCTCTTTGACTTCGGCCTCGAGTTGGCTGAGCTCATCGCGGTACCGGAGGAAGGTCTCATGATGGAGCACCAAGGCCTGCAAATATGAGGAAGGGCATTAGAATCAACAAGAGCTGAGTTTGAAAAATAAAAGAGTTTTGTAACACCTTACCCGGTTCAGCGCCCGTTGTGCTTCATTGAACAAGCATGGTGCATCCACCTCGTTCATTTTTTCCTGGTCTTCTTCGGTTACCAGGCACCGAAGGTAACTAGCTATCCCGACAGGGGCAGAGAGAACTCGGGCTCCTCCGAAACGCTGATAATAATTGAACGCTTCCGACCATGATCCGTGCTCGGGACACGAAACTGGTTAACTAACCTTGGGCTCGAGTTAGGCCCGCCAAACTCCGAGGATGAACTTTTTCTCAGCACCACTAGGTCACCCAACCCGGTGACGTCTTCCAGGGCGTTGGAGTCCATGCCGTCAAAAAAGCAGCGGAGGGGATCGTCCGCTCCGTGAGCCGCCTAGTTGGGTCGCTCTTTCATAGTTTGGGCCTTGTTAAACATGGACTCGGTAAACGAGGGTGACCCGATATATCTATTACACCGAGCACCTCATTCGAGGCGCTACCGGCATCCCAGTATGTCTCGGCCCCAGCCTCTTCATCAACTTCCCTAACCTGAGGGAGATCGGCCTCATGGATCTCTTGTTCAACTGCCTCCTGCTCTTTGGGGGGCGACAGGTCACGGGCCAAAAGGGTTGTTCCTCCTTGGACTCATCCCTAAGGCGGTTGAGCAAGTCCGAATATGGTGCTCGAAAGCTAGATCTCTTCTATGGCTTACGAGCCAGTCTTCTTCTCGGTTTTTTCTTCTCTGAGCTCTGGGAGCCCAAAACCTTTCTTTTCTGCTTCCTCTCTCCTGTTGCCGCCCCTAGCTGCCCCAAAGCAAAGGAGCCAACGGGCAAGTCCTCGTCTCCAACCGGAGGCCTAAGCTCGATGATCTTACGCAAACCTACAAAAAGAAATTAGAGGGAATAAGAACACTAAGCTAGAAGAAGAAGCCCAATAAGACTCGCTCGGGAAAGGAATCTTACCATGGGAACGAGCCTCCCAACGACCTTTCGAGAGTTTGCGCCATGAGCGCTCGGAGTAGGGCATCTGTGACACAATGCCCTCGACCCGCTCTTTGAGCCGAGGAATGGCACTTGGAACTCGAGCAAGGGTTGTGCCACAACAAACACCGATAAGAAAAGGGGGGTGAAGCATGAAATCGACGCTTAAAGGGAGTTATACTTACATGATACATTCCACCTCTCGGGGAACGGCCACCACTTGGCAAGTATCAGGTCGGCGATCCTCACCCAGACAAAGCGTCCTTGCCAACCTCGATCTCGGTCCTCGTCGATGCTCAAAAATGGGGCTTTGCTGGCCTGGCATACAAGCTTTATCAGAGCATATGTAAATGGAGTAGATGATAGATGGTGAACGAGCACGCATCCATTTTGTTCACAAAAAATCGGAGGAGGATCGCGATCCTCCACAATGATGGGTGAATTTGGCCAAAGCATACGTTATACCTTCTCCAGAAGTCTAAGATGATAGGGTCCACCAGGCCCAATGTAAAGGGATAAGTGTAAACACTTAGACATCCCTCAACATGGGTGGTAATGTCCTCCTTGGAGTCGGGGACCACTATGTCTTTGTCGGCCCAGTTGCAGTCTTTTCGAACCGAGGGAAGGACCTCTACGGTGATTGAGCAAATGTATCTCGAGGCCTCCTCACGCCGATTCTGTGCCGAAGAAGGCTTCTCAACCTTAAAGTCGCCAGTGACCAAGCGACCCCCGGGAATGAAAATTTTCAAGGGGGGCTCTTCCGCCGATTCATCAACAACCACATCAGGGGCGGTCTCCTCGACCGTAGCGGTCGGCCGCGAAGAAGAAGGAACGTCTTTTTGGGGAACGGATTTGGAGGTTTTTGCCATCGTTATCTGGAAAAGCCTTAAAAAATAATAAGAGAAAGGTAATGAAAGCTCAGATGTGTTGGCTTAAATAGAGAAAGGGTAGAAATTTTTGCAACATACTGAAAATTTCGAGCAACGGAGATAAAAATGCTTGAGTATGAGAAAGGGTGATGAAATCTTGAGAGTACGAGGGTAGAAGGTTCAACATAAAGTAAAAAATGAACGAAAGAGGAGATATTTATAGGGGTTCCGCGACTTTTCACATCCAGGAGCAGCCAACCGACGGCTGACACGCATTTAATGTCATAATGACCTGACTGACGAGACGTTTCGGTTTTTTGTCGCTTCTGTCACGGCGTATTGATGAAGGAATTGACGAGCTCATGTCATTTCTCGTCAACTTACTCTTCGAGAAACAAAGGGACTATCTGTATAAGGGTAAAATCGGGCTCATGGTACACCCCGGTCTCCGATAAGATAAATCGAGCTCAAAACACTATGACGAAGGACCGGAATCGAAGCAAGGGTCTCATTGAGTCAGACTCCGGGGGCATGACGCCCACCCTCGAGAATATCGGGATCACAATCCGGGATCGGTCCTAATCCTGAAATACTTCGGAGAACATTGTCATGCAATCAAACACGACCAACAGAAGACCGTGATATCTGCGACCGGCCGGGCATCACGGCGTGGATCTCGGCACGTACCGATAAAGAACCGGCAATCAGTTAAGCAGAAGATTTTTTACCTCTTATAGAATTATACCTAGATAACGAGAGCTTAGTGCAGCGGGCTGCCCTTTTTATAGAATTGTACCTAGAGTAGGATTCCCCTACTATATAAAGGTGGTTTGATGATTCATTAGGCAGAGTGTAACATACGCATTCCAAGGCAATATATTATATTATTCTTCATTCTTATTTTGGTTCTTTAGGGTTGATCTTTGTAAGCCCAAGTCGGGGTGGATATATTAGATTTAGGCTATAATCATCTTCATCACGTGGTTTGAGTTTAATACTTCTTTATTTACTTAATCTAACGATGTTTATCGTTTGTATCGAATTATTCCGCATATCCTTAAAATCACTTATAAATTTAACTGTTATCCATTTCTGAGGGTAAACATACATTACTCTCCAATTTTTTTTTAAAGAACCATTTGTAGAACGTAAAAAAAGAAGCATTAGAACATAACTTATGCTACCATTATCCTAATCGGACTCTAATTAATAGCTGCTGAAGAAACTACTGCCAGTATTCATTACATTTACTATCAAAGTGATACATATACAGTTACCATTTATTAAAATATGAAAGGTTTTTTTCCTAATAAATAAAGCTCGAGTTCGATAGAAGTTGCACTGATTTTCACCAAAACATAATAAGTTCACCTTTTCTTGAAAGGAACCATGGCATTTTATCCATTAACATCACAAACTTCTGGGATGATTTATATACTTAGTGATCTTCTAAAATCCTCGTCGATCGTCTCTATCAATCATCCACCATTTTATTTTATATATAAACCATTAGCACTCCATGTCGTGGATAATTTATAAACTTAATAATCTCTTTCTAACACGTACTCACAAAGTAAACAAATGGACCCCTTACCTAGTAGTACCAGAATATGACGTAATTAGAAAAATAAAATGGCAAATAAATAGCCCTTTTTGTTTCGGCCAGTTGCACCATAGCGTACATAAGATTGTCAAATAATTGGGATTTAACTTTTATATATAACAATTACATAGTCAAAAAATTCACAATATCACGTTATTTAAAAGATAAGTACGGATAATTATACTTAATAACCGTGGATAGAATATGAGAAAAGTTGAACGACGGATGATGAATTATTCTACTACTAACATTAATGGGAAGTAGAGAAAAGCTGAACGAACGACTTTCTCTTATTGAAAGTTATAGCTCAAAAAGAATTCTTTCTGCTGTGTACAATATTGTCTTAAAGGTACTTTTCATTTTAAATTTGCACTGTTTGGAGAATGAGTAAGCAGATCTTTTGATAATATGTACAGTAACATTTTTTTTACCCTAGTTGCTATTATAATAATACTCTACTACACTAGTCACCTTTCTGCTTTTACCCTTTTCCTATACTAAGATAATTGTAATGCTCTTCCATGCGCCACCTTAAAAGCCGAAATTAAAGATCATGTCTCCAAAATCTACTCCCCTCCTCCCCCCCCCAACCCCCTCCCCCCACCAAAAAAAAAAAAATCAAACTAGATAAAGGACAAGAACAAATATGTTTTTTTCTTGACGTATGTGAAACTTTGCTCAAAAACCCTGTACTCCTAATATACTTCCTCCGGTTCAAAATAAGTGATTTTTGGTTTTTTTTTGTGGTACAAAATAAGTGATTTTTCCAGATTTCAAGAATGAATTAATTATTTTTTTCCTACATTGTCCTTGGAGTAAATAGTGTTGGAGTATGTGTTAGGAGTGTTTATGTGAGATAATAAAGGTTAATATGGTCAATTTCATTGTTAATTAATGCTAAAAATGAATTTCTTAATCTGTGTGAAAATATCCAAAAAAATCACTTATTTTATACCGGAGGGAGTATTACTTTATTCATCCGTTTATACAGCCACCAATTGCACAATCTACAAGCTCTGGTTGGTACTGCTTTCAAGTTTCACCATCTCCATCTAAACTGTAAAAACCAAGAACCTTTACTGTTTTTTAAAATGTTACTATTATTATACATTGCTTTACACTTAAGTACACTATTTTTCTTTTCTCCTCTTTTTAACTTTTTTTTGTTACTAACGTTCTGTACATAAATTTATAAACGTTATCCTAATAGGAGAGAAAGTCAGTGGTAGAATAATCCATCATACAACTATTCTTCGGCTGAAGCAAATGTCCAGGTATTGGACTACTTTTTATATCGCCAAATATAAATACACACACACTGAATGAAGCTCAAGTTGTGTGTAGGTATTTAATTTTATATATATAAGCAAGCACACACAACTTACTTAAATATACACTTTCAACGTACATGTATATTGTAATATATATAGATGAATAAATGTAAACATGTTATTAGGTACATAAACACAAGAAAACGATGAAATTAGACCACAAAGTCTTGGGCACAGTTTTATGATAACCATTCTACAAAAAGATAGAAAAGGATCTAAAAAACAAGAAACATGTATATACATAATAATGCTTCTTCGTACGTTATAACATAAATACCTCAAGGAAACTTCTTTTTTTCTTCTTTTTTTTTTCTTTTCTTCATTAGTAGAAATTACCCTTCTCTCAATAGCTTGAAAATAGAGAGAAACACGAAAGAAAATTAGGAAGTATACTAAGAAGTCATAGCCGGCTTCACATCCACAACGGCGGCGGCTCATTCAAGTCAATAGGCAACCCACGTCTTACAATCCCAAAATACTTGGCGGCAGCGGCAGCGGCGGCGGCGCCATCATTCTCCTTTGCCGGAGCTATGCCGGAAACCGGCAAGTTATATACCGGCGGCGGCGGCGGCGGGCCAACAACGTCTTTGAGTACTGGATGTCCAACTTGTAAGAACTCCCCTATATTCATAAGCCTACGGGCGGAGGGGGAAGAAGAAGAAGTCAATCGGTGATGATGATCAGCTGAGGGATTAAGGTTGAGGTCAAAAGGAAGAGGAGGCGCCGCCGGGAAGTTGGTCCTGGCTTTAGCGCCGCGGAGAGAACGAGCGGCGCCGTCGTAAGCAAGAGCAGCTTCTTCGGGCGTGTCAAAAGTGCCTAACCAAACACGTGTCTTCTTCCAAGGGTCGCGTATCTCAGCTGCGTAACGACCCCATGGACGCTTTCTTACTCCTCTGTAATGGCCTTCACGAGCTGCAGCCATGGAAATGGTGGTTGTTGGAGAGAGAATGAAGGAAGGTAAAAAAAATTTAGTGAGAGAGAGTGTTGGTGTGTGTGTGGGGGGGTTTGGGGACATAAAAAGACCAAGCGTATAGAGTATATATTTGGAATAGCAGTCGTAAAAGTGGAAAAGAGAAAAAGGGGTCCCACGTAGACAACCGTAATCGTCGGCTGGACGGCACGACCTCTCTCCTTAACTTTTTCAACCCTTAAAATATACTATACTGTACTGTAGTACTATAACTGCGGTAAAAACTTTTACTACAATTTCAACATTTACATCAAATTAGGCCTGACTTAATGTAATAGTTATAAGTGATTTAATAAGATACATATGTATTGATTAATCTTGATTGAGCAAAAAAAGGTATATATAAATTAATATCATGCATCTGTTTATTTTATATAAATCATTTAGTTGTAAAATTTCCACCCTACTTTTACTATGGATTTTAAGTCATGCTGGCCTTCACCGTTGATCTTTATCGCGTTAAATGTGACCATTTTATATATATATATATATATATATATATATATATATATATATATATGTGTGTGTGTGTGTGTGTGTGTATATGTGTGTTTTCTTCGTTAAATTAATTTCTTTTTTCAGTAAGGATTAATGAACTGTAAGCTTACTCTAGAAGATTAATAGAGGTAAGAATGATCAATAAATTAAGCTCATCATAAGATTGGTTAGTTTGGTAACACTAAAAATTTTAGTTTGTTCTTTTTGATTAATTGGTGTATCTCTAAAGATAATTATTTATTCCTGTACGCGTAAAAAAATGTGAAAACACACAATTAGATTAACATGAGAATTAAGACAGTACTAAAAATTTGTAGAAAAGGTTAAATTTTAATACTAAATCATGGTGAGAGGAAGGATGATTCCCGTAAAAAATAATCTTGGTGCTTCTATTTCTACTTTTGCTTTCATGTTAAAGTTCAAATTTCTATTACAGCTTCTCGTATATTTCGGAATCTTGAAGAAGTCAAAAAGTCAAGTCATTTTCGAAGAAGAAATTGTTGTTGCTCTTATTATTTTTGCCTAGCTTGGTTGTAGTCTATGTTCTCGCAACCTTATACTAACTAAGGCGGATTCAATTAATCTTCATTTACACCCACGTTTCTTATGAGACTCTCAGTATTGATAAGACTAAGAAACAGTCTAAAGTCCCAATACAACATGTGATGTTATTTTTCTTATATCCAATTTTCAACGAAGTTGAATCCCGGTGATAAGTTGATGGGTATAGTATCATTCTATAAGAATAATTAACTTGCACCAAAATCACGTGGCGGAATAATTTGGATCTAGAATTCATTTTTACAATTTTCCTTTATGTTTTTCTCTCTCTCTTTATGATAGACAATGGAATAGAACTCAACTGGATTAAGCGTCACTTGAATCCGAACTCATAGCATTGCCATCTAAACTGTGACATTTGGACCAGTAATTATTTCGGCGGAGCAGTTATTTATTCAGATACTAATACACTCTCGTTACTATTACGTTGTTTCTTTTATTAGTTAGTAGCAGAAATAATTGATAAGTTTTAGTATGATATTTCATTTTTTTGTTCATTTGAAACAAAGAAGACGGTACCAGTCAAAGGGCTCTGAAACCAAAATAATGATTTTTTGGATTCAAAATACTTTTATACAGTAAAAAATAAAAAGTTATCTTTCTAACTAAATCGCAGTATTATATTGGATTTTACTTTAACGAAAATTTAGCCGTTAAAGTAAAACGCAGTATAATACTGCGTTTTAGGAAAGCGCATTATTATACTGCATTTTGCTTCTTTGTTGGGCCCACCAATAAGTGTTCTGCACTGATATAACATTCAAATGCATAAAAAGCAGTATAATACTGAGTTTTAGGAAAGCGCAGTATTATACTGCGTTTTGCTTCTTTGTTGGGCCCACCAATAAGCGTTCTGCGGTTAACTGACATAACAATAATTCAAATGCATAAAGCGCAGTATTTACTACGGTTTACATAAAAAAAAATTCCGCACCCCGAGCTAGGACTTGCCTTATTTAAAGGCGTTAGGATTTTATGAAAATCCATCCAAAACTTTCCTTCAAACTTCCGTTCATAGTTTTCTTCTTGTTATCAAGCATTTTTTTATAATGTCTGAAGAGCCAAAAATAAGGGTTTCAATATATTGGGGGGGGTGAGGTTGTAATGGAGAATAACTCTGTGAGGTATAGTTCACCTCCATTGTGTCATGTTAAATTGCCGCTTACAATGGAGTACGACAAATTGGTATCGTTGTTACGTAAAAAATGAGTGTGAGGAAACGTTCGGTGAACCTTAAAGTAACCGGTAGATTTCTGTATTCTGTGACTCCGCAGGGGTTTGCTTATTATTCTGAGTTTAACATCGAAGATGATGAAACTCTTAGAGATTTTTTGCGGATTCCGGATGAATACAGGGAATTTATTGTAATAAAATTATTGTAAATGTACGTCAAGGTTGAAGACGTGCCCAATAATGACGTTGTGCATAGTAGGGATAACCCACAGTCATCGGGTGGTTATTCTGGAGCAGTTTTTGCCTGATAGATTCCTGATGAAAGAGCTTGCCACCGGCGAATGAGCAGCAAGGAAATAAATTTTCGACTTTGGTAAACTTCAATTTTTCTACACTTTAGCGATATTTATTTTATGTTTGAATTGGATTTGTATTAACACTCATATTTTTCATAGGGGGTACCGTCCGGATATGAATTTTACAAGTTATGACCCCGCTCCTAGTTGGAATATGCGTAGTTCTGGCGTGTTGGACCACGGTGGTCCATCCGGGAGTCATCACCAACAAGAAAATGTCCATCATGGAACGTCAACACAGTACGACTTGTAAGTGAGTGATATAGCTATATGTCAAGTATTTATCAAGTTGAGTAGCTTATCATTTTGTTCTTTTTGTGCAGTGAAAACGAGTAACTTGATGTCCTGACCTCACACAGTTGCCCATAGACGACGTATTCACTCGTGATTTGGCAGATGCGCAGAGTCAGGAAGATGATAGTGATTATGACAACAATGCCGATGAGTCTACAGATGACACACCCTTCCCTGATGAGGGTGATGATGAGAAGGAAGTGAATGTCGAACCTGAGCTGACAAGGGAGATTGCTCCTCGACCTCCCGTTAGACCAAGAGTGTATGAGTACCACGTGCCGTTTCATGAGCTAAATATTCCCTACCCTGATAATTTGCCAAGTATGCCGGATATGGATGCCCTCACAAGGGTTGCTGACGAATTTTGGTCAGCAATGTGGGATGAGTCTAGACCAGTGGTGCTGGCAAAGGGCATGTATTTTCCCGATAAAGCTCGCCTAATTAGGGCTGTAAAAATCTACAGCGTAAGAGAGTGCCGTGAGATGACGGTAAGGGAGGTCACTACGGAGGTATACAAGGTTTTATATCGTTGAGACTTTATGGGTTGTCACTGGATATTGCGTGCCAGCAAGAAAAAATCAGGGTTGTGGAAAATGGGTAAATATATTAGCACCCACAAATGTGAAATGGACACATTCAATGAGAATCACTTCAACTTGGATGTAAACTTGATTTCTCTTGTCTTGATTCCATACTTAGAAGTGTCCATTAGGTTCAAGATTAAAGAGTGTATTACAGCCGTCTACCAGGAGTATGGGTGTATAACCAAAAGAAAGGCATATCTCGGGCGCAAACGTGCTTTTGAAATTATTTATGATGACTGGGATAAGTCATTTCCATCTTTACCCAGGTACATGGCCATACTGTAACACTTTAACCCCGGGATATTGTTGAATGGAGACATGAGTGGAGTCCGGACATACCCGAATATATTTTCAACTATGTGTTCTGGTCATTTAAACCAGCAATTGATGATTTTGTGCATTTCCGTCCGATAATTTCCATAGACGGTACTCATGTCTATGGAAAGTATGATATTAAGCTTTTGATCGCAGTTGCAATAGATGCCAACGGACAAATATTTCCACTAGCTTTTGCCATTTGTGCCAATGAAAGTGAAGAGACGTGGACGCTTTTTTTGAACCACTTGAAGCAGCACGTTGTCAAACAGCGTTAGGGTATTTGTCTAATATCTGATCGACATGGTGGTATTTTAAGTTCCGTACGGCATTTGCCTGAATGGCAGGAACCCTATGCATACCACCGTTACCATGTGAGGCACCTGAAAGCCAATTTCCATAAGAAATATCACGACAAGGCTTGCATGATTTAATGTGGATGGCTGCAACTGAGCACCAGTAGTGCAAATTCACGAGGCGCATGGAAGCGATCCGGTAGATAGATCCACGAGCATATACTTGGCTGATGGGACATGAGCTTCATATGTGGACATTGCATGCTGATGGTGGCAGACTATGGGGAGCCCTGACTACAAATGTGTCGGAGTCATTCAACGGCTTATTGAAGTCTGCACGTGGATTGCCTGTCACTGCCATGGTCCAGATGACATTCAAGCAGATTGCGGAGAGGTTTGTTGAAAGGCATAGAGCTGCATCGGAATTGATGAACATGGGTGTTCAATTTATGCCAATACCAATGAGAAGATTTGAGAAGTACAGGAGGCGAGCACACTGGCATTCATTTTTACAGTACGATCACGACCGGGGTGTTTTTGAAGTTTGCACCGCTATCCGCGGACACCGGGGGAATAATATACAGACGGTGAATGAAGCCAGCAGGCTGTGTTCATGTGGGAAATAGACCATCTACCACATGCCGTGCGCACATGCCTTGAAGTGCTTTCAACAAGTTGGTTTAGGGGCAACCAACTATATTAAAAGGCAATACAGTGTTGCTGCATACGTAGACACATATAGTGGGCAGTTGCAGCCATTGGGTGCTGAGCATTATTGGTTGCCGGATCCATTTAAAATGGTGTGTAATAAGGACTACTTGCGCAAGCTGCAAGTGCAAAAGAGAACTCGTATACGGAACCAAATGGATGTTGGTGATACGTTTATGCGCGTAAATGTGGCATATGCTCGCAAACAGGTCATGACCGTCGTAAATGTCCTTCAGCTAGTGTGGGTGGCGGTGGTAATC